GACAATCGCGGCAACGGCATCGTTCTGTCTTACGAAACTTGAGAGCGCTGATGGATAGACGCGCGGACGTCGAGCGACTCATACAGTCAACTCCGACATCATCGTCATCGTTATCGATCTGTGACTTGACAGTGCGACTCGTGAAAATACGCGACGGCAACATCGTTGCAAAATTGGTAACGCGCGACGCTTTTATTTACATGAAGCCTGCAACCGTGCTGTTCACGCTCGAACTCGAGTATTGCGTCGAGAATATATACATCGACTTGCGGCAAACTGTAATTACCGTTGACAATCGGTACAACGCATTCGTATCTTTCCTGCGCCAGAATTGCTTTACGAATAGATACGACGCGGCAAATATTCTGCGTAAAATGTGTGATAAGAGTTCGAGCGTCGAATGCGAATTGGTGGCGTATGCTCTGAACGCTATTGTACGCGACGCGTTTCACAACGAATAATCTTATATCTGTATGCTCTGAATATTAGTGATACGTCGCATGACGAATAAATAACTTTTTACTCCATCTTTGTGATTATTTTTTCCCATCCTTTCCATTAGCATTAGACTACCTTTATACTTATAAGAATATTACTTATAAGGATATTACTTATACTACTATATAGGAAGTAAACCGAACACACGTATACACGCGCACACATATGGTGCGGCACCGTGTCGCATCTCGACGAGACGCCGGTCACAATGTCTCGCTATGGTTGCGCACATGAAAGAGTTTCGGTCTCTTTGTTATTTCTTCCTCGCGATAAGCGTATACTTTGTTGATTGCGTTTCAAATAAACATTCTCGAAGAGCTATACCGAGATACGCATCGAAGCCCTGCCGAAGTTCTCAGTCTTTCGCAGTCGTTTGATGCGGGAACGTGTACCTAAAGTGTGCCTAAAGTGTGCAGCAACTCGCCAGTGTCTCAGGTAAACAAAGTTGTTGAAGAACATTGTACAAATATATGCGTTATTAGCGTCGTTGCCAGACTCCTCGTCCATCGTGTTGTTCTCGTCACCGACGACATCATGGGCAAGGAGTTTTGACAACAACAATGCAGTTAAACGTGTATAAAAAAATCTTTTCAATTTATAGTGCCATCATGGATTATTATTATGACTACAGCGATGACACAACGTCATCATCATCATCGCTTTTATTGACGCGGCCATTATCACCGAGGGCCGAAGTAATCCAGGCGGAAATTCTTATACATAATTGTCAATTACAGGTGAGAGATTTTTAATATACATATTTTTTATTTTTTATATATTTTGTATTTATATTTTTTATTTTTTATATATTTTGTATTTATATTTTGTATTTTTAAGGACATTGGAACGCAACAACTCTCCGCGTCACTGCCTCCGGCGCCGTCAACAAGAAAAGGAATTATACGTCCCTCTCTCGAGTATACGCACGTCCCTTTCGGGCGGGGGAGTGGAAGGAGTAGCCCCGATAGACGCATGGGCACGATAGGGACACTTCGCCGCGACGCGGGGATCATTGGCAGGCGACCTCCGACGCCGCGAATTATTCCGCCGGTGGAGAAGGAGGAGGAGGAGGAGGAAAGATCAGGAAACAGCGACAGGCAACAGCGCAGCCCCCCTCGCGACGTCCATCACGAGTTCATCATGACAATGGCGGCGCGAGCGGCGCAGCAACGACGGGCGCAGCGGCGGACCCGCCGATGGGTTATATCTACAAACATCGGTGCAAGAGATGACAGTGATGACGAAAGTAGAGTACTATCTTATGTGTAGATAACGAAAGTAGCGGCAGCGCTGGACTATTTTATATAATACACTTATTTTTTATACAATATATACTTGTA